CCCTGAGAGGGCTGGTTGTGACAAAGACATAGCTGCCATTTTTAACCAGTGGTATAATAATTGTCAGTAGCTGTGAGAGCTGAGACTCATCAGAGGGTGAAACCACAAACTTCTTGATCAAAAGACAGTCACTGTTGGCAAGTGTCAGACATTTCAGATCTGGTTAGTTTTTATGTGCTGCTGATTCTACCATGTTAATTCCATTCCGGCAGCAGAAACAACAGCAGACAGGTGATGTGGATCCCTTGTGACCACTTACAAGAAATAGCATGTCAGACACAGGAATTATTCTGTGATATTACAATTTGGAGACGACAAAGAGTATGATGTACTCTACACTCACACATGAGGTATCACTACACTAAGAATCGAAAGATAATTTGAGGGAAACCGATGATTTGAATGTCAAGATGCTTCCCAACTCCAACAGTGATTTTTTCATCACCTGGTAAGCACTCTCTTCAGAGATGGAGAAAGTTCAAGTCATAATAAAAGGATATATATTCTGAAGGAATTGAAATGCTCATTTTGTAGGATTTAATCCACTTCAGATGGGATCAGGATAATCATTATCTAACAGGCAGTGGCATAACTCTAGAAAGCACAAGCACTGTGACAGCTGGCAAAGGGCTGTGTACCCCTGATGTAAAAATATTTCCTGCAACTGACTCCATCGGAAATTATCTTTGGTCTGTATTAAGAACAGAGAAAATCAATACCATTTCTTTTATCATATAGACTGACAGGAAGCCTTACAGCATCCCCACCTTTTTTGCAATACATAGTTGGACCAGGTCGTTCCTCAGCTTCTTCAGTGGTACAGCTTGAACTAAACAGCTTTTCTATGGTGCCTTAGATGCACATGTAGCAGACTCCATTAAAAGGCAATCTGTGTCCTCCAGAAAATATTGGATGTTATGAATTGCTTGTATTCACAACTACCCTCTGTTTTCTTGTCATGGCCACAGGCACAGGGAGAAGCTCGGAAAAGACCATTAAGATCTTGGATATCTTCACTAAGAAGAACTGGTTGCTTTTATGAAGTTTAGCACTTTTTATGTGGCTTAGTTGTAAGAGACATCTGAAGAGCATCTCTCCTGTTTTGTATTGGTCCTGTCACTTCAGAAAGACTTTGGTCCAAACATTTTTACCCACAAAATGCTTCTCTCTGTATTTCAGTGGATACATTAAACTGAAAATGTATTTATTTCACTGTAAATTTTGTATGAGGTTTTGTCTTCCCAAATTACAACTCAGGGTCTTTGCAGAGGTCTTGGTGCTTCCCTGAAGAGAATGTTAGGAAGTTTCTCTTACTTTCATGATAGGTTCATGGATGTACTTTTCTAGATAGCTTTCTGTGGTCTGAGGCTCACTGACTTCTACAGAGTACAAAATCTCAGGGTAAATGTGCAACCTGTCAATTAACAGCGTATTAAAAGTATTCAGAGTTTATAGGAGCTCTCTTAGAGGTGGTTATTTTCTCAGAGTCCATCTCCTGCAAAACAGTTTCAGGATGTTAATACTGGTTCTGAGATGATGTGGATCATGTCTCAGAGCTTGGAAGAATTTGCATGACCGTCCTCAGCATACATGCCTGCATTCACGGATGACCTGGTGTGAGACTGCAGACACGGCATGTTGCAAGCATGTCTTTGGGCTGTTTATGCCTAGCAGTCACCTGTTGAATGTGATTGTGACAGTAGAAAGGGAAAGGGGGAACTTTCTCTGATGACAAAATGGACCATGTGTATGCATTACTATAGGCCTCTTGCTAACTACTGGTGCTTACTTGGAGAGCTCAGGGCTTCTGTGTCAGTGGAGTGCTGGGACATCCTGAGAAGCACATCGTTCAAAATGTGACCGGCTCGCAATTATGTGTTCAGGAGTGACCTGTGACCTGCAGCTTCAGCCCCAGCATGGATTGCCTAATGTCTTCCTTGTGTGTGTATGCATGTGATTGCTGAGCTGTACTTAGACTTAACTCTGATCCCACCAGGAAGGCTCAAAGATTTTTCCTGGTCTTTGTTTCAATTCAGGCTTCATGCTTTGATACAACTCTCTTCTTTTTTTGTTGCTTTTGATCAGCTGGTTTCTGCTTTGACTTCTCCTTCATTCCATGGGCCTTGCCTGTGCCCTTTTCCTGTATCCATCTCAACCCAGATTTCTGCATCAGCCCTGATTTATCGTGGTTGTTTGGGATTTTTTTTTTTTTTTGTGTAGTCCTGCTCAGCTGCTTGCTCCAGTCTGCCATTAACTTTTGCTCTATCGAAGTCTTAATGGAGAACCATTCATAATGGACAGTAAGTCCACCATGTACACGCTCAGACTAGAAGCAAGATCTCACAAGATCCATGGAGCCAAATGTGGTGCACTAACTACATCCAGCAGTAATGTACCGACTGTCAGTCCTGAAGGTCTGGTTTATTGAGACTCATTGCAAAGAAGTGTTGAGGAAGGGTGTCTTTTCCCTTTATACACCACTAAGAACTTTTAAATCTCTGTGCTTCATGGCATTCCTGATGCCTGCTAGAGATATTGAGTTTCTGCTCAAGAAGGTTTACAGATGCCTTCGATACCATTCCAGGAAAGAATTATCTGTAAGTTTAGTGAGATGTGGAGATGAGAATCCTGCAGGCCTTTGTATACCCAAGAAAACGTCATTATCATTATCACTGTGATTATTTTTTTTTTTCCTTTCCCCCTGCCCCCTTTTCAAACAAGAATCACCTAAACCTTTCCTTGTTCTCACTCCAGATTCATCTTAGTTTTACTAAAATACTTTTATCTTCATAAATGCAGATTGGAAGCATTCTGTATTTTTTTTCTTGAGCACTTGGGGCTTTAGCCAAGCAATTTCCAATAATTTCAAATGAAAAATACTTAATGTGGGAAATAACACATAAGGCAGAATAAACATCAATTTCTAGTCACAGTTCTCACCTCTCAGACTTACAATTTTAATTACTTATATGAACTGTCTTCTTGACAGACATTCGGAATAATTTAATTTATCCAATAAAATGAAAATACAAAGTAGTGGCTGTTTTTTTTCCAGTGTCTTGATCTAACAGGAAGTTTGGAGCCAATCAAAAATTCCCCAGATATACTATACAGAAAGTCATCATAGGTGGTTCAGGTTATGAACTAACCAGATTTCTCTTGCTTTGAAATGATTGTGAACTTAAACACTTCAGTATTGACATATATAGCAGTGATATTTTAGGCAATGTATTTGGCACAGACTCTGTTCTCTGTCTGTATTGTAAATGTGTAAATTGTAAATGCATACACTTGTTTTCAATTTGCATTTTTTTTTTTAAATTAAGTAGAAAGTCTATGTGTAAGTATCTTAGGTTATAATTTTTTTAACTTATGTCTAAAAAGGGTATGTATACAAGTATGTAAATACTTGTGTTCCACACAACTGCTTCTGTGTGCTTTCAAGTAGGTTGCTAAATATTGATGTATGTCTGTAATATGAATGCTTGTAATCCAGAAAAGGGTTTAAATCTATATCTTCTAATAAGTTTATTAGAATGCCAGTATTAATCATACTTTAATTTTTAGACTTCATTATTATATTGTATTCAGAAATCTGAAATGACAGATTTGTGTATTTCAAAAGATTTTAAAAAAATAAATTACTTTTACATTGACTTTATCCAACACCCAGACAAGGAAAGGAACAGACTCCCACTCACTTCAGTTGGGATTTCTAGATCAGAGACCAACTACAGATGAGCTTTTGTTTTAGCTGCTATTAAACTGATTGGAAAATGAATGTGAAATAGAGATGATTGTGCAGACATGGGTTTACAGGAAATGACAGATTCAGTGGTTTAAGGGCACAGAGACTTAATGGCTGTGATGCAGGGGATCCATGTTCCAGGCTCCTTGTTGCAGACCAGGTTCTGCTCTTGAAGCCTCTGCAACTTTTGCTTTTCTGCTTGTTTTTGAAACAAAGCAGAAAAGAAACTCCAAGGAAATGACTGCAGAAATCATACTAAATCTAGTTCACATAATGTACAGCTTAGAGAAGCAGTATTTAAAAAGGAATATTGTGCAAAAACTTTAAATGAATTTAAATGTGCAACGATAGGCTTCCCTGCATTGTATGTAAACATCTATGTGCATATATAGTAGACATTACATATAATAGGTAGTTTGGATGAAAGTTGTAGGAAGAACCTCAACTTCAAGAATTTCTGAGTGTTTCATTTTGCAATGATAATGCTGATTCTTTCTACTTAATATATCACAATCTCTCTATTATATTGGCCTTTAATTAAAGAATAATGTATCTAATAAGAAATAATGGAGCGAGCTATCACATTATGGCTGAATTTTGGCAAGTGTAATGCTAAAATATGAATTTGTTGTAATGGTCACTAACTATTATTCTGTCTTGTGAAAGGCATGGGGCTTTTCCTTCCACTTCCAAACACTGCCTGCAGTTAAGTCCACAACAATGTCTTGTTCCCTTAAACTTGACCACAGTATTTCTAATTTCTTCTCATATTCCAGTGTCTTTCCCTGCAGTGCTTCCTTGGTTTTCTTCCCTATAGTCTGCCCTCACAGTATCCTCAGTTTATGTTCTCTGCCATCTACTATTTTGGTGTTGAGGCTGAGGAGAGCGAACACTGAGGGACTGTTTGAGCCACCCAGGTGTTGACTGCCTGGGTAACCACTGCTTTTCACAGACCATAAACAGCAGTTAAGGCCTGAACTCTTTTTTAACATCCCTCTTTTCTAGCCAGCTTGTGATTTTTTTGCCAAACTTACAGGAACTGGTTATTTTGAGGATTTAGTTTGAGTTAGGTGGTGAGTTTTAAAGTTACTTTTGCAGCTGAATCAAGATGCACAGGAGAGAATTGACTAAAACATAGGCCTGAACTCTTTATTCCCCCTTAATCTAGATGACAACACTTTTGAAATAAGAGTTTATATAAAGTATGTCCAGTTGCTGACTACTTAGATATTGACCTTCTGACTTTTTTTAGGTTCAGCAGATAGATCGTGTAGTAGAAGTTGTGGAGGAAACTATTAAAGGTAAGCATCACACCTGAAATAATTGCAGCTAGTCTGAAAGATGTAAGCCATAGCTAGCAGAAGTGCTGCTGTTATGTTCTTTATCAGCCTAATGCTTGCTTTCTCCTATAGTTAAATGTTTAGGCAGTGTATACTTAGCCGTATACGCTTTGTGTAAGTGGTAATTTCAGAGATCTTTTCTGGCAAGAGCTCTGTGGCCTGTTGGATTCATGGGTAAATGATCCAGGGGAGACTTCAAGAAATCATTTAAGTTGCATCAATGTAGGTGGGTGTAGAGTACTGTTTAAGTTTCTCCACTACCTTAATTCATTGCTCTGTCTACTTCCTTACGTTTAGTCCTCGTGTGTTTTCTTCTTTTCAGATGTCTTAGCTTAATTCCCTGAACTTTCCTTAGCAGGACAGATAAATTATCTGCTAGTTTAATGTTCTTTTGTAACTGTGTTCCTTGTTCTCTGTGTTCATGTCTGTGTACACTCAGTACTTTGCAGTGAAGGAGGGAAAAGACAGTATTGTTTCTGCAGCCTGACTAGTAAACATTTGCTATTAAATAAATATATTTGTCTGGGTCTTTCTGGGTTACCCAAGTTTGTCTCCATTACTTATCAGACCATAAAAATTACTGTTCCATGAAGCTTTAAATTACAAAGTTTAGTTTAATTTAGTTAATTTCAATATAAACAAGTGTCTAGTCCACAAGACCTGGCCTGTAACTTTAATGCTGGGGTATGTTTTTGAAGTTCAGGATGAAAATGTAGAAACAATGCAAAATTTTTAAATTTAAAAAAAAAAAAAAAGCTTCTATCAAGACATTGTGTAGTGTGGTTTAAGGCTTCTAGAGTTTGTGGTTTGAAGACCTTAATTTCTTGTTGCTTTGAATGCTTTCAAAAATGAAACCTGTACTCATATATTACCAACCAAAACTTTTCCCAGTTTGTCCTTATAGTATCTATTTAGTATGACCTACTATATACAGTATGACCTACTGTACCATACAAAGAAATGTATTCAGTGTATTTGTTATCAAATAAGCCAAACTATTTTCCAGAAACATTATGGTGCTCATGACAATGTGTTGGAAATGGGAATGCTTCGTGATTTTTACAACAGCACAGTATTATAAATCCCTGTCTGATTTTCCTGAATTTTATTTATTCTTAAGGCAGTAAGATGATAACCTGGGTCAGCATGCCCTCCCTTTACAAGAAGAGGCTTTGTAGTGTTTATACTGACTCCAGACATTACTGCTTTTTAATAACACTGTTACTTACTGTGACTGAATATTATATGACTAGAAAGAAGACAAACAATATAGTAGCAGTTATTAGAAACATGCTTTTCATTGAATTAATTGTAAGATTGCATTTTACATATTGATATAATTCTGGAAAATAACGTTCATAGACATGTTAATGAAGATTTAAACTTTTAAAAGTATGAATTTGGGGAAAGATTTTGGTTCCTTTCTAACTTACTAGAAATGCTTTGAATAAAAAAGGGTAAGTGGGCTGCTGAATTCTGTACATAGTGCCAGTTCTTTCAGGGATTTCTCAAAAGACAATGGAGCACAGGATTTCTGAAGTTTATTGTGGAAAAAAATGAACAAAATGGCTCTCCAGTGCAAGAGAGACATGGACATACTGGAGAGAGCCCAACAAAGGGCCACAGAGATGGTTAAGAGACTAAGACCATATGTCCTCAGAGGAGAACCTGAGAGAGTTGAGGCTGTTCAGCTTGGACAGAAGGTGGCTTAGGGGGATCTCATCAATGTACCAGGCTCTTTTCAGTGGTGCCCAGTGACAGGACTAGAGGCAACTAAAGGCAACAGGCACAGACTGACACACAGGAGGTCCCCTCTGAGCATCAGGGAACACTTTTTTCCTTTTTTTACTGAGAGGGTGACCGAGCATTGACACAGGTTGCCCAGAGGGGTGGTGGAGTCTCCATCCCTGGAGATACGCAGAAGATGTATGGTCATGATCCTGGGCAGCTGGCTCTAGATGGCCCTGCTTGAGCATTGAACCAGATGACCTTCAGAGTTTCCTTCTAACTGTAACCCTTCTCTGAAAATAGACTTTCAATTGAAAAGACAATCAAAAAATTGACTGGGGTCATAGCGTATGATAACAGCTTATCTTTGCTAAAGCCAACCATAGAAATAGGAGGTTTTACTTACATTTTTTTCATTTAAATTTGTTCAAAGATAATGCATTAATTTATGTATTTGGAAATCGTATTCCACTAATGGAGAATAAGATGAAGCTCTTTCTCACTGTGTTTTATGAAAGACTCTAACCATGAACTTCCGTTATCCAAGTGAAGTAAAATACTGTGGATAATAGGACTGGTAGTTAAGAATATTTTATATTGTAAAATAGATGCACAATAGATGCTTAAGTTCATGTATGTAAAACCAAATGAAATGTAACCCTCTGTCTTTATAAGTCTACACCATTAGTAATAACTTCTGAAGCCACAAATGGGTTCTGGAGATGGTGTAGGACAGAATACAAATTCTAAATTCAGAGCCAGCTTAGATTAGTAAGTTTTAAGTTGCTTATCTGTCATAGGTGTATGATGCAATTTTCTTCACCTCTTCTACAAAAAGAAAATCAAAAGGTTGCACTCTTGTAGTGTGGCTATGTATATATTAAAAGTTTAAAAAATATTGAAAGCTTAAAAAAATGTTTCAAATAAATATTTGAATTGATTAAGTTTAAACTGCATAGTGTCGCCACTCTGTAGGGCAGCTGTCTATAGATTGGTTGACCTAACAGTTGTCTGGATTTTCTGTCCACATTACAAGGTGGTTATCCTAGTTGCCTGTTTCCGGTCTAAAAGTCTAGCTTTCCTTGGGTTCCCCTTTCTTAGATTTTTCTTTGTTGCTTGAATTTTGCAGTGCAGAGTTTACAAAAAGGGAAACTTTGTAGAAAAGAATTTGCCTTCTCTGCCCCTCCCCCCTTTTTTTTTTCCTAATAGTTTTCTTTCTAGTTTTCCATGAAAGTGGCTTCCCTGTTGGATTTGTTTGAAAGCTTACTGTATTCCCAAAGAAAATTACTTTCTTGGCATTATTTAGAACTCTTTATACAAAATATGGAGGGATTTCTTCTAGATTTGTTTCTCGGTCTTAAGAGCATTGTCAGGAAACCCTCTTCAGATCAGTGTCATTCTGCTGGTTCAAGAGATGGTTTCAAGAAGTAGATCTTTATGGTGGTCTTTCAAACAAATGAGGTAAAACAGCATAATTACCAGTTCCCAACTCTCCATTGAGATAATTCTCATAAACACTTTTTATGTGACTTTATCTTTTTATCCTCCTTCACCAGAAAATGGAAAAGGATGTTCATGTATGTTATTGCCCTAATAGTCAAAAGAGAGAGAATATTTAAGAGACCCTATGATTTCTCTTTTTTATATCACCCTTTTATCATGAGTCTCATGGAACTTCCTATTTATCGTGATGTATGCAGGTCATGTCTGATTAATATTTATACTGTGTCCCAAGATGTATTTTAACTAGGGCCATCTTCAGGTACTTTTACTATTGTATTGTTACTTATAATTTGAAACCTCCGTACTGTCTGCTAGGAGCTAGACAAATTAATTTGATCTCAGCCTCAGAATTAAGTTTCTCAAAGGGACAGCCACCCTCATGTACATTACCCAAATTATAAGACTGAATTACAACAATTCTTACTTCATTGGGGCACCCCTTTCCACTCGTGCTTAGCTTCCTGGCAGCATGTTAAGATGACAGTATTTTAGGAAAGTATTGCTAAGGAGTTGCAGTGTCTGTGAGCTAGGAGAAAACACGGTTATAATTGATGATGAATGTTCCATCATAACACAAAATACAGATTTTTAAAGCTTTTGGACTGATCAGTCCCAATATAATGTCTCTATAAGATGAAGATTTGTCTTTGGGAACCACTGAATGTCTTTATGGTGATTGCTCAAGTCAGCATTTTATGAACCACTTTAAAAGATGTCTTTAAAAAAACCCATACAGTGTGTGTATACAAGCTTGGATATAAACAGTTTACAGTAGGCTAGATAATACATTTATTTTGTAATTTAAAGGAGAAATGTTAACTGCTTATTGTAGAAATCCTTATTTTCTTAGTTTTGAATTTAGGTTTTCAGAGATTTGCATCTTTCCCCCCCTTTCTAGACATAGTAGCTCTCAAATCCCATTTTGTTACAGCTTTCTGGGAGAGGGAGGTATGGAGCAAGAGTATTTGTGTACAGTCTGCTTTTAACTTAGGCCTTAGGGAGGTGCGAGACACAGGTTGAATTTAGTCTATATTGTGTATCTGCTGCTTTCACAACACTTAGTTTTACAATGGGTCGTTAGACTTCATTATAAAAAGCATCCAAAGGAAATTACTTTAGGGTTGAGCCTTTTATACCTCACATAACCTTTCTTGATTTTGGTCATGTTGACCTGTCTGGTGAAGTTGCCCATCCATTCCTAGTTTAATCATTAACTAATATTTACTAAACTATTACATTGTCCTAATGTGGTTAGTAATTATGAATCACTGATAGTTGCTGTGTCAGTCTGTATGAAAATGAGCAGATAAATGGTACTTATGTATAGGCTAAAGTGTAGAATTTATACTGGAATGCCTATCTTAGCGTGAGTATGCATTTGAATGTCAGCATATTTAATATATTTGTATGTTCTGTTTGATTTCCCTATAAACTGCTGATAGTAGATAAAATACTTTTTTTTTTTTTTTCCTTTCAGTTTCTGTGGTTGTGGGAAGAGTAGCTTTGACTTAAGAAGTTGATGACAAGCCAAATGAATAAAAATTGGAGGAGGCAGGAGTTCCTTTCTGAGGAAAAGTATAATTTGGCTCCCAGTCAGGAAACTGACGTTTGTGCCAAAGTGCTGCTTGAGGAGGGTCATAGGGAGGGTAGTGGCCTCACTAAGTCTCTGTTTCTGTTTGTACATCCTTTGAAAGGACATAGCAAGGGGGGACAGTTTTGGATGGGTTATT